CTATTTTCGTAACCTGTTATTTATTAATTTCAATTGATATTAAAATTATTAGATATAATAAAGGACTGAAAAGATATATTAATCATCAATAAGTATTCTAACCTCTAATAAGATTTAGAGATCATAATTATATCCATCCTTAACAATAATGTTAAATAATCTCTATATGAATTACATCCAAAGGAGCTACTTTCAATAATAATTTTGCCTATAATGAACAGTTATTAATCACTCAGATCAGAACTATTTAATTTTACCTCAACCTGAATTTTTTTAGAAATTAATTAATATCTACAAAACAATAATACCAGTCAACTAATTCAATTTTATAAATTGTGTATAAAATGACAAAATTACCCATAAACTTAATTGAGAATATTAAGAAATAACAAAATTGTACTTCCTTATAATTACGAATTTAACCCTACTAAACAATAAATTTTTAAAATTAACTTAAATTGATTTATATTCCATAAATGTTATATTTTCTCTTTAAAGTTCTAATGTTATGGCACAAACAGAACGAGATAGGGAGCCATTTAAAATGATTAGAAATCACTTCTAGTTAAAGCTTATTTAAATGATATCTCTCTTTTTTAACCTAAATTTTAGTCATCTACCAGATGCTAATGTATTTCCATTATGAGAGTAACAAATTGAATAAACTGTATTTGAATGACCATCTAATTTGGCTTTTTATTATCCTGTCTTAACATCCCATAAACGGATAGACTTATCTTCACTACCAGATGCTAATGTGGTGCCATCAGGAGAGTAACAAATTGAATAAACTGTATTAGAATGGCCATCTAATTTGGCTTTTTATTATCCTGTCTTAACATCCCATAAACGGATAGAACAATCTGAACTACCAGATGCTAATGTAGTACCATCAGGAGAGTAACAAATTGAATTAACTTCCCTTGAATGACCATCTAATTTGGCTTTTTATTTTCCTGTTTTAAGATTCCATAAATATACAAAATTTCCACTACTGAAGGCTAATGTACTTCTATTATGTGAGAAGCATACTTAACTTACTTCTTCCTTTACTTTGATTCTAGACTTTATTTTTCCTGTTTTAACATTCCACAAGATAATCGAATTGTCATCACTACAAGAAGCTAATGACTTACCATCTGGAGAAAAGCATACCTAATTGACTCTTCCACAATGACCATCTAATTTATTTAACTCATGTATTTTGATATTCTTCCAATTACAATTAAACATTTATGCTTGATTCAAATTTATTCGACTAATATCGACATTGTGAAATTCTGATCCATTGAATATGCATCTTACAAATTTCCACCAACTAAAGAGGTATTTCTTATCCTGATATTCTCAAAACTTTATTCCCTCAAATCCACTTTCATTTAAACTAGCAAATGAAGAGAATTTGATCCACACCAAATATAAGTCTCATCTAAAGCTGTCAGATGAACTAAAAATTTTAGGAATTCTATTATCTTCTTATTCAATGATATTTTTGTGATTAG